GACGACGGAAGCTGGCTAGCTGTCATACCTCAATCGTCGCGCCACGACATGACAGAAGAATGCCACCAGCTAGCACATACCGGAGTAGCCAGAACAACCGACCTCTTGAGACAAAGTATGTACTGGCCAGGTATGAGAGAAGACGTAGCAAGATATGTACTTGGATGTCCACGGTGCCAGCTAATGAAAGGCGACCGGTGCATACGACCACCACTTCAGTCGATTCCAGTTACGGCGATAGGTGACTTGTGGTCCGTAGATGTTATGGGTCCATTTCCTCAGACATCCAATGGTAATCAGTACCTCTTGGTGATGACGGAACACGCGAGACGATGGGTAGACGCCGTAGCAATCCCAGACCAACGCGCAAGGACCGTGACAGATGCAGTAGTTAGACACATCGTTGCAGACCATGGCGTACCAAAGACAATACTGACAGACCAAGGTCCGTGTTTCGAAAGTGAAGAATTTACTTTCCGTTTGCAACAGCTTGGCATCAAGAGGATCCGAACGACCCCATACCATCCACAAACGAATGGCCTGACGGAGAGAAACAACCGTACGCTGAAGGAGTGGCTGGCCTCGAAGGGCGGTAACTGGGAAACGGAGCTGCCACTGATTCTACTAACACATCATGCCACCACCCAGGAAACAACGAAAAATTCACCCTTTCAACTGATGTATGGTAGAAAACCACGATTACCGATACACAACGAAACCTGACTCCTTCACCAAAAGTGGAATACGACGAAATTAAGAGCGGAACGGAAAGAAGCCATCAAGAATGTAATGCAGAAGCAGCTGAGGGATGTCGCGAAGTCTCAGCTGAGAGAAAAGACTCAGTGCATTACCTTCTCAGTCGGGGACCAAGTGAAGTGTAGAGACAGAAGATATGCTGTCGGATGCGGGCCAGGTTCACGCAAACTCCTTCCAAAGTGGGAAGGACCATACACAGTCACAAAAAGACGGGGTCAAGTATATACCATCAGAAGAGGTGACAAACAAAAACGAGTTAACGCCAGTCAGATCCAACGATGGGTGCATTGGGACAAGCCGGTCTGTAACAATCATCAACGAGAGGATGCATCACCCAGAAGGTCGGAACGCTTGCGCGCGAAGCTATTTGACGGGGAGACGAGTGTGGTGAGAGCTGTCTACTTGCCAAATTGGTAGACAGCAATTTACGTCAATATTTACGTTCCCAAGATTTGTCGTGAGAAAATGTGAACAAAGATTGATTCAAAACCGACCACAGCAGACTTTGCGTAGGCGGATGCAGTTAACATATAGAGGATTTGACATTCAAGAAACAGTCACAAATAGATGAAAGATTAACTTTACGTGAGAAACAACCAATCGGAAGACTGTGTTTGTTTGCTTAACTATCCATAGTAATGTACATGGAAATATATAAATATGCGTTGATTTCCTTAATAAATGATCTGTTGCCTGACTCTTGCCTTCTGTCGTTACATATGTATATATATATATACATATATAAATCACGACCACTAAATCTGGAGAGTTGAATATATCCGTCGCATAGTACGATTACTTCTTGATCTAGAAAATTAACCCCCTAATATTCAAGTACATTATTCATGTGGTCATTAGTAAAACAGGACTACATGACAGGTATCAAAGGCATAAGATGCTAAGACCTAATGAACTTGGGTTTCTCCCGATTCGTAGCAAGATAGATGAGTGCTGTTGAGGAAATTCAGTACTGCAGACGACCACTCTACCATCAAGCTAATCATCACGCTAATGTTCGCATGTTTTTCAAGTTGTCGAAACGTATCTGGCAGTGTACAGATTAAAGGCGTCAGTCAGTTGTGAAATGTGATTTGTCTTCATACTTTTAGTGTAAAAATACAGTGTACTGCAGTGGATGGCTGCATAGCATCACTTATTGTAATGGACATATCGTGAAATTGAGTTTAATCAACACACTGACGATGGAACATTCATATCAGTTACTTTGCTCAGACTAATATGCAACCAATTCTGCAAAAGACCACCTTGCATGTATAGCCAGACGGTCCCAAACCTGAGAAAGAGGAAATATTTGCCGTGGGACTAGCCGTCGAACTTTGCCTAGTAGGTTAATTAAAGCTTCGTAAGTGAACCACCCAGCTCAGAGAACACAACTTCGTCAAAATTGTCAGACGCAGCTGATGATTCTACCTCACACGCATGCTCTGACCACCAGACTTCATGGTCTTTAAGTGAACACTGTTCGATCTTGTGTACGTTGTTGTACTTACCGTCCTGCGAAATGGACCGGCACTCACCAAAAAGTTGCAGGGAGCTCTCGGACGCCCAGTGGTTTTTAGCGAAGCATTCTTTTATGACACAAGTGGCTTCACTTGCCACTTGCACAATCATCTTGCAGGTGTAGCTAATGTCCATCTGCATGATTTAGACAGTTGCCAGGTAGCCATAAGTATAATTCAGTCTGGTACTTCGCAGAGGTAGCTAGTGCTACCAGTATACTTATATCAACCTACAGAGAATGTCGTTTATGAACCCCACCAAATCGCAAGATGCACCTGATATACACAAAAGCGTGATCGGATTGCAGGCATGTATTGCAAAAGGAGAAGCAGTCCTGTATGTATCCAACACATCGGAAACTGACAGCAATGTGATCAGTCTAGGGCCAGACCAGATTGGCAGAGGGAGGATTCCAAATAGCGCTATGGCGGTAGCCATACCGTTGGTACTGGTACAGTTGTTACTGTGTAGACACAGGTTGTGATTTAAGCAAAGCTGCAGGAGGCGATCTCCATTATCTGATCTGCTACCATGTAAAGTCCACTGACAACCTAGAAAACCACCCTGTGATCCTAAACCCCCGACATTTGCATTCAATTCTCCAGCTAGCACTAAGATATCTTTATGATGCGACGGTTTTAGAAGCTCGCTCAGCCGATATCAAAACTCAGCACTGATTACGTATAAGCACAGATGACAAATAGGCGCCACCGACTGCTTCCTATTTTCATATAGTTTTCAAGCCTCACACAGCATACATGACTGTTAACTGGGATCCAGTCGAGTAATGCAGATTCAACACCAAAGCTTAGTGAGACACCAAGATCATCTGCTCTGGATATCGACTCCACAATTTCCCATGATAAGCGTCAGCGGTACGCACCATTTGAAATTCCAGATGAAGAAAATACTCAAATTGCTTCAATGGGATCTCGGAAGCACACCTCCCAAATGCAGCACACATCGTTAATTAGCTTTCTAATGTTGTGACCAGAACTTTCCGTTATCCGAAATGCATCAGTGTGCGACCATTGTATGTGGCGAATTTGAACGAGACACACGGTCTCAGGATATCTGTATAAGATGTCGCACTGGAAAAAAGCATTTTGAAGGCAACTATGTAACAGCTCAAAACGACACAGATAGGGAAAGAATTTCAACAAAAGCATAAGGCTGACACAAGTGAAGACACCAAAGATAGTAAAGCTGATAAAAATAAAACAAAATAGGGAACACTTTGCTAGAAATATGATTTTGGTTTTTAATAGTTAGTGAGCAATTAAAATCTCTTGTGAACTGCGTGTCTGTGTGTGTGTGCAAGGAATGGGATACTGCCCAGGTATCCAGCTGGAAATAGGTAGTTGTCTTAAGGGACCACCCTCGGAGTCTGTAACCTGAAGTCTGATCAACAAGACATTAGAACGGAGTCAGGAGATGAGCTCCCATGGATTCAAGTGAAGAAAACCGGTTTATAAGCCATTCCATCACATCGGATTCTGGATCTCATGAACACCATCGGCATGGAATCATGGTTTCCCAGCTCTAAGATGTAAAGTTTATGTACTTTTGTAAATATATATATAACGACTAACTTCTACGTATCTAAATGTTATGTATGAGATATTACGACCTGGTAGACTATGAGCGAATCTAGCTTAATGCGCTGGCTAATCTGTCCTAATCGCACGTCAACAACAACAACAATACCGCCGGGCACGCAAGGCAAAGAAAGAAGACTGGACGTTGATACGAGAGCTTTTACTGTCTCTAACAGCAGTCGAAATGTTAAACAAAAACTCCGTATTTACACAGTTAGGAAAATCAATGTCACATTTTAAAAGTATTAACAAACCATGGGAATTCAGTAATTTAAATCAATAATCACGCAGATGCGGGAAATCAATGATTATGCAAGTGTGGGAAATAAATAATGAATATTAATGATTCACCTGTGTATATATTACTAATATGAATGGATGTTCAGCAAAACTTTAGTTCCAGAAGACAGAAATCTGTGAACTTTGTTGAATGCAATATTTCAGTAGTATAACAGAAATTTGAAATTAATTTGCATTATATATGTCTTCCAGTCGCCGAACAAATATACTCACTCCTATACCTCGCTGAGCCAGAAATAATTCTGGTAAAGAAGAAAGGTAAAATAGACACTGCTACAGAAACTTCAAACCACCAGCTTGAAGCCTAATGTTCCACTGAGGGACGTGAAGGAAAAAAAAACTCTCTGAGGAGGCCGCTGGGTGACATCGAGCGTCAGGCCAGTGCTCGAGTGGAACCCGAAAGGGAAGTGGCGAGTGGGACGTTCAAGTGTGACATGGAGGAGATCGTATGAAGAGGAGTTTAAACAGTATTGATTAACATGGATGCAGGTGAAAAGGACAGCAGAAGACAGAAGCAAGTGGAGATGTGCAGTTGAAGCCCTATGTTCAACTAGGAACCCAAGGGAACAATAATAATAATATATGTCATTTTAAATTCAGTCCATGCATTATTTTCAATTTCGACTACATTCACTTTAAGGTGTATCTCTAAGAAAATTGTGACTCATGCGTTTATAATTAAAATACGCCCTAATGCTGTATTTCATTGGAAGGAACACCCACCTACATCCATAAATATACCGTTACAATAAATAAACTATTAAACTCATTCAAGTATATAAACAAAATGATCAAACGTAAGAATGGTGTGTAATCGAATGTTAAATGAATTTACTCAACTTTCTAAACTTATGCATTTTCTTGTCATTTCTACCTGAATTATGCATAGGAAAATGTAAACTACCAAATGATGTTGAAAATGTAGGTTCTAACACACCATCTTTATTATTTTACTTCAAAAGTATCATAGCAATCCTGTCGGAAGTGTATCGAAACGGACGGTTTATACTGCACAACTGAAAATACTGACTCATTATACAAGAAAAATCAAAGAGCGTACTGACTTCCAAGAAATGAAAGTAAGTAAGGTGTTATTACTATTTGTTCATGAATTTTATGTGTATGAATTATTAAAATATAAAAGTAATTAGAAAACAGAAAGATTGAGCGAAGAAATATTTACTTTTCAATTAGATCCTTATCTGTGGCTCTACTCTAATATATATATATATATATATATATATCACTTTTATTACATTACACAACAACAATCAAGTGGCACTGATATGTTTGTTAACAATAATTAGTCAGTGTCAAAATGTCAGTGGGTTGATAATAAACGAAGAAAATCAATACACATTTAGAGGGTAGAAATGGTTAAAATAAATTAATTTTACGCGGATAATACGTAATTAAAGATGAAGTGGTCAAAATAAATAAAAATAAAATAATTTGGACGCACTCCTTTACCTCACTAAGCCATTAATTATTATTATTATTTACTTTAATTCCTAGAGAAACATAGGGCTTCAGCTGCACGTCTCCATTGCGTTCGGTTCTCTGCTTAAGTTTTCACCTGGCTACACGTCTGCCCACATGCTATCATCTCCTCTTCACATGACCTCTTCCAAGTCACACCTGAACGACCAACTTGCCACTTCCCGTTCGGGTTCCACTCGAGCAATGGCTTGTCTAGTGATGTCACTTGATAGTTTTCTCAGAGTATGGCCAGTCCACCTCCATTTCTTCTTGCTAATTTGTTGCACATTCGGTTCATGGTTGGTTCGCTCCCAGAGATCTATTCCTGTCACTGATCTTTTCTGACCGTCCATCTGATCTTCAGTGATATTGAGCAAAGACAAGTGTTAATGAAGGTCTGTAGTTTGTTTGAGATGCTCTTTATGACGCGCCAAATCTCTGATCCGTATAGTAACACTGACTTCACATTGGAGTTGAAAATCCACATCTTGTTTTTCATGCTGAGTGCTGTTGATCTCCACACAGACTTGAGATAAATGAAAGCTTGTCTTGCTTTCCCGATCCTTGCTTTGGTATCTTTTTCAGTTCCACCTGTAGTTGAAACGATGCTTTTAGGTAGTTAGTAGGTGAAGGAGTTTGCTTCTTTCAGGTTCCTCCCATTTGTGCTTATCGTTGTCTGTTGTTGTTGCTGTTGGATGTGTTAGCCAGGAATCTTCGTCTCCTACATCTGTTTTCCCTATGTTCACCTGTAGTCCTATCGTCTCTGGATGGTTCTTCTGCCAACTTGTTGCTTTTCAATTGCATATCTTTCAGTATGTGAGAAATCAGACATATATCATCGTCGAAGTCTAGATCCTTCAAGTTTTTCTTGACGGTCTATTTTGTGCCCGTTTCCTCGCTGCCCACTGTCCGTCGCATTATCCAATCTAACGCAATCAGCCAGTTATAAGACTGGTGTATAGGGAAGGTTGGGCATCCGGCTAACAACCCTATCCCATAGAAATAAACACTTCTTCTACAGAAACTTCAGAGCTCCAACTTGAACCCCTATGTTCCACTGGGAACGTGAAGGAATAAAAAGAATAACTGTTGTATTTGCGTAACCAATATCTTGGGTTATTTCACTAATATGTCAGTTGACTTGCTAAGTAAGTGAACAGATACTATCAACAACAACAACAACAACAACAAAAATATTCACATCCAAAGTCCAACATAAAATGTTCACCTGAACGCTCATTTTTCTATTAACTCGTATTATTTTTCTTTAATTCACCTAGAAAAAGATTATAGAACCTGCAATTAAAATGTGGGAGGAAATTTTGAAGATTAGATCACTGTCATCAGAGAGAATCTATCTACAAAGGTAAGAGCTAGTTAATTAGCTAATTGATTACCGAATTACATATTGTTATTTTTTACAATAATTGATATATAATTGAATACAATCAGATTATACCTAAAATAAGAAAACTTCAAATCATTTTATGCAGCAGATATTCAGGTTGGGAATTTCGATTTAAAAATTTATGGCAAAAGATTTTTAATTAACTACTGAGACTGTAAGCATTTGAAACTGTTATCAAGAAGAAAGACGATCCAGTTCACATGCTGGATACAGCTATACATGATAAGTGAAAGATAGTCTTATTCAACAGGATTTCATCATCAGCTAACATCTGTTAGAGAACCATTGCAAAACCTGGGTGTACTGGACAGTCGGCTGTTTCGACAGTCTAGTTTGGGACTCTTCATCAGTACGCACCCACCGGGGCACGAAACAACTGTCCAACATTCCCAGATTTTCCTGTGGTTCTCTAACCAATGTCAGCTCATGATGAAATCCTGTAACCAATCAATCAAATCTCTACAAATCAATACCTGAGAGTCTTGTTTTAGTTAGTTAATCTAACCTAGAATGTATCTGTTTGGTATTACCTCTAACTGCATTGACCGTTCTTGATACATTGAAGCTCTCTCTTAATAGTTAATCTCCTCACTTTCCTTTTGCTCAATAAAAACACCGGTGTTATGGTAGTTATTGTTGCGGTTTACAAGTATGCTCATCAGTGAGTGCATTAGGTTAGTACCATTCGTAGGCTATTGCCTTCCATCTGTCCGACATATGACAGTTCTAAATAAACTATATTTGAGAACAATGAAGATTTTCAGACGTAGATGATAACATAACTTTTTATTTCCTTATTCTATATATTTTTTGCAAGGAGTTGCAAAGAGTATGATAAATACGCCAAAGTACTTCCCAATGGAACACGATATCGTTACTGCAGAAGAGGTTGTGAAACAAAGTCAAAGTGTTACTCAGGAATTCTTCCAGAACAATACTTGGACGTAAGTGGTTATCGATTTTTGATTATTTCAAGGTTGTTTTGCATATGAAATTATGCAGCAAATACTAGCAAATAAATGAAAAACAGTTATCTATTCAATCAAATTTTAAAAAAATTAAATTATTATATATAATCTTGAGAATAATGCTTAAACTAGCTACACTCTTACTTCTCTAATAGGATGCAGTACACGGTATATAATGGTGTATCTTCCTCTCCTTTGCCTACTGAAGCTGAAGTTCCCCAGGGTGCCGTTCTCTCTCCGTTTCTCTTTTCCTTTTTCTTACATGATTTACCTCTTTCAGACGAAATCAACTTCGTCAAATATGCAAATGACCTGATTGCATCGTTTCCCATTAAATCTCAGTCAGACTGTTTCAAATTAAATAGCTTCCTGTTGGACATCAGTCAATGGTCTAAACTAAATGGTCTCATGCTGAATCCCTCAAAATGCCAGACTATTGACTTCTCCCTAAGGCATAAACGAGATCTACAAACACTAGTAAGTACTCATGAAGCCTGTTGCGTTGAGGAGACTAAGATTGAAACTAAGTCTAATGCAAAATACCTCTGTCTAGTTCTATCTTCCGACCTTACTTGGACATCTCATATCCTAACGATTTCTAAGAAAGTGTTCTGCCTAACCTACTACATTAAGAAACTTAGACAATCTGAAATCACCCAACCTCTACTTTCACAATTTGTCAACTCTTGTATCTTACCTATTCTACTTTACTGCTCCCCGTTAGTCTTTCCTGGGTTACTGAAAAAGGACTACACCATCCTGAGAAGGATGTTGAAGGTAGTTAGTAGGACTAGTGATGTAAAACTCAGTCAGCTAGTCACTACATTAGTTGATAGGCATCTGAATACATGCGAAAAATGGTCTCAAACCATACTCTCCGACCCCCCACACCCCCTCTATTCCCAACTCTCTCCTTGTATCTCATCAAGTAGAACCAGAAATCAGTATAAAATAATTTATGCTAGTGCAACCTAGTACAGGAACTCAACGATACCATACTTGGCCCGTGTTCTACATGATAGAGACAATGTTAAGCGCGAAACCTGTGACTTGCTATGTTGTTAATAACATAATTTTAGGCTCTTTTATTTCTCTCTTATTTTGCCTTCTATATTGAACTCCTTCTTAAACATATAAGCTACCTAAATTATTAACATTGGCTTCCTTTTTTGTACTTTACTATATTCCTTCTTTTGTGTATCTACTGCTTCCGACTCTATTAGCACTATGAGTATTACAAAATTGTCCTGTCATTAACCATCATGTAATTATTAGTTTTTGTGGTTGTTGTTGTTTCTTTTGTTCGGCAATGTTAACTGAAAATCTTGGTTGTGAAAGCCATTATCACCATCTTAAAATTTTGTATTATGCATGATTACTCACACTACCACTACAAACACTGCATTAGACCTGACAATAAAAAACAAAACAACAACCCCGAAATGTTATTTTATGATTGTTTAGTGTTATTCAATCAGATTAACTGATCATCCTGGCGATAAACATTCTTAAATATCATTTCATAACTTCTTGTATGACTACAGGTTTACTGTCACCATGCATAATCATATCATAGCTTCCACTACCCAATACTGAGATATTATTTTGTTATTTATTTTCCTTTCTACTTCTTGGTATTTTTTCGCATTTTTTTAAATGTTATTTTTGTGTTGTTTTTTTTGTTGTTGCTGTCTCTATATTTATTTTTTGAAATACTCCTTTTAAATGTTTGATAAAATTAGATGCAAATATTGTAGATATGTGCTGAAAATTCCACACTGTACCACTTGTACTGTTTCTGGAATAAAGCAAAATTATTACTATTATCATGAACTTTATTTTATTATTGTTAACCATGTTAGTTGTAAAGCGGTTGTAAAGAAACTACGAAATGATATCATCTCGCGAAATTTGTCTTCTTAATGCCTTATTCAAACTAGTATTATTATTATTAAATAGTAGTGATTTGTTATTGGATGCTAAACCTCGATCATGAAAATAACTGAAAATGATGTTGGGAATTATTATTATTAATTCAAGTTGGAGAATTTAGCAGAATGATACAAACAGAAGTATTTTTCAATTAATTAAGTTTTATAACTGAGTGCTTTACTCCCAAGAAGATTATTTTGTATGTATATATCGATGGATATTATTGTATATGTCCTTGATGTTTAATGAGCTCTTATAATTACAATCATTTCGGCTTTTTTTTAACAAATAGCGCTGTAATGAATTGGAGCACGAACAACCTAAATCGTCTGGAGTAAGAGGAAGTGGAATCGCTTATAATGAATTCTTGTTCGTAATTGATTCACAAAATGCTAGCGGCTGTCATTCTGGGACCACACTGGGTTACGCAACATTCTGTCGGATGGATCCATTCACGGATAGGTTAGTCTGTCTGAAATTCTTATAAATATAAGAACTTAAGAAGTACAACATAAACTCAGAATGATAACATTTGTTTGTCTATATATATAGTCATCTTAAGTGTTTTCGGACCAACTGTGAAGGTTATCTCCATTCTGTTGCTCACATATAGTTCGACACTTTTCTGTCTACTGATTGGCTGCAGAAAATTTCAGTTACCACAGATTCCTTTGCACGATTAAAACAGCATCACTGTACAGGCAATACACACATAAGTGTTGGTTTGTAGGGATTTGATTGGTTACAGGATTTTCATCATGAGCTGACATTAGTTAGAGAACCATTGGAAAACCTGGGAGTACACATACACACACAAAAATACACACATAATTCGGTAATTTCATGGACTCAGAAAGGTGTTTCTATGAAGTAACATTTTGACATAATTTTCTGCACCTTGAAAAATACAGTTCAAGAAAATACAGAAAAATCATAAATAAAGACGTTAATATTTTTAGACATTGCATAGAAACTTTGAATCTCTTCATACCTTTTGAAGGTAGAAAGTACTTACTGAATATATTATTTATTTCCGATTGTGTCATACACGAGTCAGTAATCTAGAACATAGAGGCATTCTTACCGCCGTCCAACAATCATTATATTTCTTGACCTAAAGGCGGCATTTGATTCTGGCGATGCTTGACTGTAAAGGGAATGCTTAGAAAATACATAGCACTGATTAAGGCACTCTACTCGAACTCATGCAGACAGATGAGGGCTTACGATGAGTTGTCATCTGAAGTGGTGACGACTAGTGGCGTCCGTCAACGATGACCATTATCCCCATTTCTATTCAATTTCATCATAGATGTACTATTGGATTTAATCCTAAATCACTTCAGAGACTCAGGGATTGACTCACTATCACCAAGGAATAATCTCGTTGACTTAGAATATGCGGACGATATAGTCCCTCTAGGCGAGGACGCTGACAAAATAGAGCAGAGTCTTCTGAACAACTTGAGCTGCAATCTACGAATTTCTGGCATGCGATTTGCTCCCGCCAAATGTAAGATGATGTTACAGGACTGAACTACACTGACTCCTAGTTTAGAAATAGGGAGTGAAGTGGTAGAGCACGTTGACCACTTCACTTATGTGGGAAGTACCATCAGCCCCAACGGGTTGATCTCTGACGAAATCTCAGTACGGATACAGAGGGGTAGTTTCGCATATGCCACTTTACACCGCCTCTGGCGTAGACGTGACATCCGACTATCGACCAAAGGGCGGGTGTACTGCTCATCAGTCCGCTCCGTCCTCCTTTACGGCTGTGAGACCTGCCTATTGAGAGTGGAATACATGAAAAGATTAGTTGTGTTCGATCACAGGTGTATGCGTTCTATCTCCCGCGTGAAGTGGTATAATAAGGTGAGCGATATTGAGGTTAGGCGCCGAGTGCTAGGTAGGTGGGAGGGGAAATCAATCGACGAGGCTGTGAAAGTACATCGACTGAGATGGTTAGGACATGTGTTACGTATACCTAGTCATCGCCTTCCTCGACGGCCAGTGTTAGCTGATATAGGGTCAGGCTGGAAAAGAGCTAGTGGCGGTCAAACCAAAACATGGCACCAGTCAATGAAATCTACAACGGTTAGTCTAAGCCACGTAGGAAGGTGTAGACTTCCTGGTTAGGGTCCTCGGGACGGTAAAATCCAATGGTTGGAAACAATTGGTGATATGGCTCAAAATCGTTCTCAATGGCTAGCGCAAATGCATCCACTCCTTGTGACTTATGATTTCCAATGAAACTGTTTTGTTCTTCGTTATTACTATTCCTTTGTCTCACACCTCTGTTTACTGTCTCTAATATGCATTTCTCCTACTTTCTTCTCTTGCTTTGTGTGCTACATGGAGTGTGGCGACTTGAACTGCCGCACACCGGTGCAAAGTTCTATGTCTAGAACAGACAGATAGACAGTAATCTGTAGATTGTATAAATAATCAGCAAACTATCCGAATTTGATTGTATATGCAACCTGGAATAGCATCACTAAATTAAAAATATAATTTTAGGAACAAAATTAAAGCTTAAAGACAATTAGACTTCATTCTTACTTTGAATTATCCAATTATTCTTTCTACAGAACATTAAACGACCACCTCCCTTCTTTATTAGTTCACTAGTTTACTAGGATGTCCTAAGCCCGGAAAACGAGGAAAGGTTGGACATAGTAAAGGTACCTACCGATTGAAAGAAGGGCGACTTAGGCCTCATTCTGCAAGAACTGGCAAGGAATAATGCTGTTGTCCATCCTAAGTAAAATACTAAGGCGCATCATCCTGGAGAGAATAAAAGATGCACTGGATACAGAACTTCGCCCCAACGGAACAAGCTGGATTCAGGGAAGCAAATCATGTAAGGAACAAATTGCAACTCTACACATCATCATCGAATAAAGCATAGAATGGAAGTTAAATCTTCGGCTCAACTTCATCGACTTTGAAAAGGCCTTCGACAGACAGCGTTGGCCGAGAAGTAATTTGCAAGCTCCTTCGAAAATATGGTGTGTTCAAAAACCTGTTTCCACTTCCTGCAACAGTTTTCTGACATTGCCATATGTCAAGTAAATCACAACGGAAAACACAGCGAAGCCTCTGAAACGAATAGGGGAATAAAGCAAGCCTGTCTAGTATCACCAATGATATTCCTGATTGTGATTGCCTGGAATATGCGGAAAAAAGTTAGAAGTAAGAAGACAGGAATACATTGGACTGATAAGGTTCTAGAAGACATGAACTTCTCAGAGCATTTATGTCACATAAATTTGATGACTTACAGACGAAAACCGACAAGTTGGTAGAGGAGGCATATAGCAAAGACGAGACCTCAAGTGAACACCGAGAAGACAGAGGTGATGAAGATAACGAACCAACAAAAACAAGCACCCATCACTATCAGCGGGAGAAATTTGAGTGAGGTAGCATCATGTCAACTTCAGAGGACAACATGGATGAGAATGTCAAAGCCAGACAGGAACGAAAATACAAGACTGACATTCATCATTCTGAAACCAGTTTACAAAATCTCCTCAACTCAGCACAAGAGAACAAAAATCGGATATTCAGCACCAATGTTAAGTCAATCAGTCCTGCTACACGGCTCAGAAACGTGGCACATGCCTCCAAAATACCATTTCCCACAGGACACTATGGACTTCCATCAAAAGCTATCCTCAATGGCTTCATACTGAGGATCAAATAGATAGCCACGAAGAATTGGCAACAAGAAACTCTATCAACGAGCCAAACAAGAACCTGTTGTTCAACAAATATCCCGAACAAAATGAAGATGGATTGACCACATGCTCAGCAGACAGATGGGTGACACCATGTGCTTAACATTACCTAGACTAGAACTCGACTGTGAAACGACGAGTTGGGCGTGTGTCCAAGACTGAAATATATAAGGTGGAGTGGGTAGGAGATGAGAGACAACGGGCAATCGTGAAACTAGCTAAAATGCCTGTACAAAACATGATTGAATGGTGATGTTCTGTTGACGGCCTCTATTCCACTTAAGACCCAATGGAACAATAATAATAAAACAAGTAATCTATCAATTTTCACATGAATATATAATTATTTTCAATGTATAACGTTTAATTTCATTTTGAAAATACAACTTTACTGTACAATAATAGATATAACTTGCAAGTCTAGGCATATTAATCGCAATATGGTTATTTTTTTTTCATTTATATTTAAGGCCAGTTGCAGGTTACGCAAATATGTGTCCAGGACACTTAAAGATGGAAGCAGAAAATATTCGTCAATCTACTGCAACGATGGCGCATGAATTGGCTCATGCTTTGGTAAATATATTAATAATAATAATTTACTTTATTCCGAAAACAGTACTTATAATACAGAATGGAATTCTCAGCATTTGTCACAATATTGCATCTGATTTACTCAATATGTATATAAAATTAAAAATTAAAACAAATTTAATCGGAGGAATTTGTCCACATTTACGACATAATTATTAGATATAATAATAGTAATAATAATAATAAATAATAACAGTGAGTTTGTTTCAAACGGTATTGTCGATTCAGTTTGGAAACTTTAGCATTTTATAGATTATTGGGTCTTATGTTCTGTTGATATGGTATAGCGAGGTGAAATACAAAGTTAACAGTCATAATACAGCTTAAAATTATGTCCGCACTTATGAAAAAAAATAAACAAAAAATTGAGAGGATTATAAATATAAGAAATACAATAACAATAAAGTATAATGCTTTAAGGGTGGAGGAAATGGTCTATTTAGTGGTGCTAAGAAGGTTAGTTAGTTCATTTCTGACGCTATTTTCATCACATAAAGTACGTGCCAAATATGGTATAGTGGAATTTTTATACTTAGACGTACGTGCATAAAGTCTTCTGAAAAGACTTTTTGTTTTACCTGAGGAGACACAAGGTTGGAGCTGTTGGTAGAGTGGGTGCTCAGAGTCTGACAAAATTCCTCTAGCGAATCTGTTGCATGACATCAAATGCTTATCAGTGACAATGCCAACGATATGGCCCAATGGGATACCACTCGTCCTACTGACAGTCTCCAGAGTTCTACGAAGTATGACATAGTCTTTTTTAAGCAATCCAGGAAAGAATAATGGTGAACAGTAAAGAAGAATAGGTAAAATACACGAGTTGATAAACTGTAAGAGGAGTGGTTGGGTTATGCCTGAATGCCTTAAATTCTTAATGTAAAAAGTCAGACGAAATATTCTTTTAGAAATCACTAGGACATCGGAAGACCAGGATAGGTCAGAAGAGAAAATAACAGTTCTTGTGAAATTTAAATTTATGATGTACTTTTAAAAATATTGTTCACACTGGATCTGTCATTAGAAATTCTGAAATCCAGTGGGCAAAATGTGATCAGGAAATTGGTGTTCAGGAAAACAAAATAGTGTTTTTCAAAGTATTATGAAATAGATATATGCGCTTGTGTTTTATCCGTCTCTTAATAATTTTACTTATCTTTTTTCTTAAGGGCTTCATGCGTGATGCCTTCAGATACACGCGTGACAAAAACAACGTTCCAAGAACAAATCGTGATCCTAATACAGATGAACCAAATGAAATAGATGCCAATCAGTATAGCATTCCAGGGTAAGTGAACGCTTTATTATTGATAAGATTTTAGTTTGATAAATCACACAGTGTTGTACAGTAATATTTACTGATGACCACATTTCGAGGACAAATTTTAACTGGTCATAATCATGTCAAGTCACTCACACAACTTTCTTGCTTTATTTATATACATGAATGCAAGTGATTAGACATTTGAATAAAAATCAATATAGGATAGTGTACATTCAGAAATAATAATAATATGAGTGTTATTGATCAAATACAATCAGATGGGAAATAAGACGAGGGTTTTTACAGTAAAAATAAGTAACTTGTTAGAATGTCATCATGTACGTGAATTGAAATAGAATTTTAAGATTATTTATTATCTTCCTCTGATTTGACTGACTGGTGGTGGTGGTATTTTGTCTAGTTGGGTAAATCTACAAGGTCCTTTAGCCTACAGAGCTTGGCCTATCTGAGTGAGTTTGTAGGTTTGAATGCCGCTCTAATTCCTGTTTTATCAAGAATCCTACGTAGGGATTCAGATGTCCTCTCGCTATATGGTATAAAAGTAGATGCCTTATATTCTCTCTAATTTATGTTATCATCATTAATGTCCCCATTATTTTTATTTTGCTTCTGACCGTTTTTGATATTCCTAATGAATTTTGTAGGATAGTTATTTAACACCAACACCTCGTCTATCTGTTTCATTTCATTGTTTAGGTTTTTTGTTTGTACTACTTAGTGTTATTGCTCGATTTGTTAGACACTTAACTAAGCCAGCGTTTACAGACAACGGATGAGATTGTTTTTATTCAAATGTCTAATCAATTTTTACTCATGAATATATAAATGAATTAAAAAGTTGTGTGAGTGACTTGATATGATTATGAACAGTAATAATTTGTTCTCGAAATGTCATCAGTTAATATTACTGTATAACAACACTATGTGATTTATCAACATAAAATCTTATCTATAATGGAATAGTTATTCTCTAACACAGTGCCCAAGATTTTTAGTTATATCAATAAGGTTACACTTTGCAATTAAGATAAAATTCAAGCTGCACCTTCGGTGACAGTTATATTGGGCGTACTACTAGACAGCTTTGCCAACGTGTTAGTGAACATCTCCCATCGTGGTTTGGCAAAGGACAAACAAAAACAATCCGTAGCTCAATTTTGTCACACTTAATTGATAGTGGTCATGTAAGCGAGAAAACGAGAGCTTTCTAAGTAATTCATCGTATCCCACCGAATCTTTCCAATAGACTCCGTATTCACTTACTGCACACAGCTGAGGCGATAGGCACTCGAACTATTAAACCTAAACTATGTATTCAAAAAGTTCGTACAGCCATTATCCCTCCCTTGGCCTATTAAGACATAACCAACTAATGACTTCTACACCACCCCTTGTTTATATTTTCAACCCCTTTCTTATCACCCCTTAATCTTATCTTCATTATAAACGTGTTTCATTTCCTTCCCTTACCGTCTAACATTACTTAATCGGTTCATTTGTTTTTACTAGCCTTTATCGACTGCTTCCACCTGAACAATTGTTTGTTTAATCATGCTGTTTTTCATTATTCGTGTTATCACAGACTGCCTCACTTTTGCATCCTTATTATTGATAAGACCATTTTTATTATTACTATTATTATTATCATTACTACTATTATGACTAATTGCACAATTTATATTCACCATCGTATTATCCTATAGACAAAACACCATGATTGGTTTATATTTGAATTTTTATTTGTAAACTTATAAATATTAGAATTAAGCCTGATGAGATCTAATTGAAAACAATATTGTTCGCTTAAATGTGTTGTTCTAAAAATCAAGCTGACTAATGTATTCCTTTTAAAGAAGTCGATGTGTAAATGTGAAACATTTGAACTGAAGTGAATTTATAAACCGAAGGAATCCAAAGCAGTGCTCTTATTCTGTGAATTTTTTTCTTTTTCCCGAAACACTTATGTAATTACATTTAAAAAACATTTATGAATAAACCGCGTGTTTTAAAGTTAAGAAATACAATTAGAAGTCGATCCTTATTTCTTTTAGTGATCCTAATTATTAATTAATGTAAGTGTAGAACTTGGGCACTGTGGTAGAATGCAATTCCATATTAGAAAAGTTTATTTTAAATATCATACAGTGATGCAGTATTAACAATTGGATGACATTATGAGCATAAATTCCTGCTCGTAATCATAACAATTTTAGTCACACAGTTTCACAATCCATCTTATATATATTTTCTCTCTTTCTGTCTATCCGAATTCCCTTGTTATTTGTTGCTACTTTCCATATCTCCGGTATCATAGGCGTTGCGTCATTCCGATTTCACGTGTGTGGTGCTGAATCAGTAAACTTCTCTCTCCACCTAACGGTGTGATACTATTTAATACTCTCACCTTGCCCCACCCTATTTTGTGATTACATACAAGTGAATACGGTGCAATGACTGGGCTTTTTCCAAGTTATTTAACTTAGCAGGGTCAATTATTCTAGGTCTGGTTACAGGATTTCGTCATGAGCTGACATTGGTTAGAGAACCATTGGAAAACCAACTGGGAGTACTGGACAGCTGTTTTGTCCTAGTTTGGGACTCTTCAGCAGTACGCACCAACCGGGGTTCGAACCCAGGACCTACTGGTTACGAGGGATCCGATCCAGTGGCCCATGAATTCTGGGTTCGAACCCCGGTGGGTGTGTACTGATGAAGAGTCCCAAACTAGGACGAAACAGCTGTCCAGTACTCCCAGGTGTTCCAATGGTTCTCTGACCAATGTCAGCTCATTGATGAAATCCTGCAACCAATCAACCAAATCCCTACAAACCAATACTTGAATATTCTAGGTCTAGTTAAAATTTTATGTTCTAATAATCTAGCTGACGCCGATCTACTAGTTTGACTGTCCTATGTAAGTGACCTCACTCACAGTCATTACATGGCATTCGGTGAAGTATTTCTTTTTGTGATAAGTAGATTCTTCCTTTCTTCTGGTGTTTTAGTGTCAATGTACACTGTGCTCTGACTCGTTCCGGAGTGTGACTAAAATTGATATGATTATGAACAATTATTTATTGAGTTGTTAATAGTGCATCATTGTGTGATGTTTAAAATAAACTTATCTTATATATGGAATCCCGTCTATAAGTTGTTGTTTTCTTCATCCAGACAGTCAATATGATGCTCAATCTAATTTTGTGATTTCTTTCCACAAATCTAGATCAAAAGTTCTACGCACTGTGACTCGTCAGTGGGGATCATACAGACATGTTACCAATCGTGAAGTCACCGTGCTTATAACACCAAAAATGGTGGTAAGTTCAAGGTAGCCGATGTATTTTCTTTAGTTTGCTCGTATGCAAATGATTTTTGTCTGGTTAAGAAAGTGTATTTAATAAGAATTATTCGAAAGCTTGACAATGTGAAGTTGATTTTGATGTGGTTGTAATCTCTGAACTGAATAGTTAATTTGAGAAGTTTTCATCACCCTACTGGGAAACATCTCCAGCGCATACTTCAATCTCTTGAAGTGAGCTTTTGGATTTCTTCACGAGTTTATTAGTCATCTCTCCTGGTGGGTGATTTACTCATATTTTGTTGGTGTTTACATTTAAAATTATGCATTCTAATCGTATCATTCACTCTCGGGATTATATAAAATGCTTAAAACCTAAAAACTTTCATATTTGCAATAAACTCAAGAAAAAGCACCATGGTGGTTGGCAACGTGCTTTAAAATCTACACCCATACATCAAACTACTGTTCCGGTTATCGTTAGTACGAACTGTCGGTCACTGCCTAACAAAATTCTGGATTTTCAGTCCCTGTTGTTGTCCGAAACTTATCATAATACTGGTATTGTAACTCTACAAGAAACCTGGCTTCATGACTCATATGATGACAATATAGTATCTTTAAATGATTTTAATGTTTTCCGACAAGACCGTGTTTGTTCCAAGAAAAAATGCGGTGGTGGAGTAGCTACATTTATTCACTCAAAATGGTCTATTTCTAACAATGTTTGTTTCAAATTCTCGAATGACTACATTGATTGCATTACTGTCAGATGTCGCCCGAGACACTTGTCAAAATACAAATTCATTTATATTTCTAATGTTTATGTCTCTCCTGGCTGTACCATATCGGATTTATCTATGTTCGCAGATGAATTCACCGCTTTTGCTGCAGCTTGTTTCGAGAACTCTTTATCAATAGTGACTGGCGATTTTAACTCTTGTGATCACTCCTTCCTTATATCACTTGGCCATGACAATATTGTTAACTTTGCTACCCGTCTCGAAAAAACACTAGATCTAGTATTCATCAATGATGTTGGTATATATGAAGCTCGCAAACGTGCTCCTGTATTGAACTCTGACCACTGCATCATACGTGTACTGCCTAAAATATATTCCAAATCACACAAACGTGTCTTCTCTCACCTCTACAGTAAATTTCAACGGAGATGCTACTCACAAGATAATCTAAGCAAACTCAGATGCATGTTGATAGATACTAACTGGGACCTATTTACAGAACAAACATTAAATGACACAATCACAAACACCACAGATTATCTTAAATTCTGTTTGGAAATATGTTGTCCTAAAGAAACATTATTCACTCGTTTTGACCGTTTCTCTACTCCATATCTCAAAAAGCTCCGTAGAGATAAAGAACTGTTGTTCAAAACAAATGATAAGTCAGGTGTAAAAAAGCTAAATCCTCTGATAAAACTCGAAATGCACAGACTAAATGTTTTATACAACCAAAGATTTTTGTCATGTAAAACCCCTTCTAGTTTATGGAAACTTTTTAAAGAAATAACTAGCGGTAAGCGGTGTAATTCTGTACAATCTCTTAATGTTAATAATCTTAATAAGTCTTTCATACGCTCCTCTGACGATATCCTTCCTAATGATACAAATCACATAGACAATAATTTTAATGGTTTTAATACCCTTGATGTGCTTAAATGTCTCCGTTCTCTTAAGCCTTCCCAAAGCCTTGGTCCTGATGGCGTACCTGCCATTGTCCTCAGGAACTGTGCTGATATTTTGTGTTACCCTCTTACTAATATTTTTAATGCTTCCTTTTCCAGTAATGTTCTACCTTCTGCATGGAAAAACATTAAAATTGTCCCTATACCAAAACAATCTTCTGGTACCGATAGTAAATTTAGGCCTATTGCAATTACTTCTCCTTTTTTAAAATTGATGGAAAAACTACTTTTACTTCGTCTTGAACCTTCATTGAAAGCTTTTAATGACCCTAAGCAATTTGCATATAAACATGGTAGAAGTACCTTGGATGCTGCGGTTGTCTTATATCATAATGTTGTTTCTTGTTTAGACAAAGGTGCCAAATATGTCCGTGGTGCTTTCCTAGACTACACATCTGCGTTTGACTCTGTACCTAGGGGCCTTTTATTAAATAAGCTCTCCTTGACGCACACAGCATCCTGGGCTAAGAGTTGGTTGCATTCTTATTTTTCTGATAGAATGCAGTATACTGCATATAATGGCAAATCTTCTTCTGCTTTGCTTACAAAAGCCGGTGTTCCTCAAGGTGCCATCCTCTCTCCCTTTCTTTTTTCTTTCTTCTTACATGACCTGCCACATTTAAACGAAACCAATTTTGTCAAATATGCTGATGATCTAACTGTATCACTGCCTATCACTTCTGAGTCTGACTGCTCCAAACTTAATAGCTTTTTGTTGGACATCAGTATGTGGTCTAAGTCAAATGGTCTTATGTTAAATCCTTCCAAATGTCAGGCAGTTAACTTTACCTTCAACCATCGACGTGACATACATGAACTAGTTAGTTCCCATGATGCCTGTAGCATAGATGGTACAGAAATTGAAACCAAATCAAGCATTAAATACCTTGGATTAGTTCTTTCCTCGGACCTTTCATGGTCATCTCACATTTTATTGGTCTCTAAGAAAATGTTTCGTCTTACCTTCTACATTAAAAAGTTAAGACAACAAGGTATCAGCCAACCTTTAGTTCTGCGATTTTTAAACTCCTGTATTTTACCCATTTTACTTTATTGTTCTCCATTAATCTTTCCTGGGCTTCTTAAAAAAGACTATGCCGTATTACGAAGGGTATTAAATGCTGTGAGTAGGGCTTGTGGTTTGCCACTGCGTGATCTCGCCAATACCATAGTCGAGAGACACGTAAATTCCTGTAAAAATTGGGCAAAGGCCGTACTGTCAGACCCTCTGCACCCTCTTTATTCACAATTATCCCCTTGTATCTCATCAGGTAGAACGAGAAGTCAATATAAGAAATTATATGCTCGTACCACTAAGTACAAAAATTCTACAATACCGTACTTAGCCCGTATTTTATGTGATGAAGACACTGTTAGACGTGAAACATATAAGTTACTATGTAATTAGCATAGTGAATCGACCCTTTCATTGTTCATCTTTCTGTAATTCTATGGTGTCACCCTTTCTATCGTTTAATTATAACTTTACTATTTTTATTTTAGTTGTTATTACTATTATTACTATAATTTTATATTTTTCTCCTTATCCTCTACTGTAATTGCTACATAGCTCCTATAAAAACGTTTTGTTATCATTATTATGTATTAATTATTCCGTTTATCTACTTTTTTTTGTTTGTTGTTGTCGTTTTTGAGTAAATTAGATGCAATACTGTACTGAATGCTGAAAATTCCTTGCTGTATCATTAATACTGTTTTTGGAATAAAGCAAAAATTATTATTATTATTACCTTCTACGTGATTGGTTACTTTTGTGTGTTTTCACACCCTGTAGGCTACTAGTATTGGAACTGATTGTTTCTTTGACTTGAACTTTGACCCTTTGTGTGTGAGGTTACTTTCTTATCGGTTGATAAATTTTGTCAATCTCGATGTGTCTATTGATTGATGATTCACTGGAATACCAGGCTAGCTTCTAAAAATTCTTTAGCATTTATGGTGTTTCCTCTGTCTAATATTTGAACATTGTCCCAATCGAATTGATGTCTGTGGTTGTCTGTATGTAGTGATATGAGGGAGCGGATGTCATGTCTTTTGACGGCTAGCTTATGTTCGTGGATACGAAGACAAAGGGGACGTCCACTTTGGCCAATGTAGTGTTTTTCGCAACTGTTGCAATTAATATTGTAGATGGTGTTGGTTTTATCTTCTTTCGCTGGTGAGTTTTTGGTTGACATAGAACTGAGGGAAGTGATTTTGTTGGTTTGTGTGTGACGTCAATTCCTAAGGGTTTAACGAGTCTTGCAGGGATTTCTGATACATCCTTTATATATGGCAGGGCATTCCAGTGAATCATCAATCAATAGACACATCGAGATTGACAAAATTTATCAACCGATAAGAAAGTAACCTCACACACAAAGGGTCAAAGTTCAAGTCAAAGAAACAATCAGTTCCAATACAAGTAGCCTACAGGGTGTGAAAACACACAAAAGTAACCAATCACGTAGAAGGTCACCCACCAGGAGAGATGACTAATAAACTCGTGAAGAAATCCAAAAGCTCACTTCAAGAGATTGAAGTATGCGCTGGAGATGTTTCCCAGTAGGGTGATGAAAGCTTCAGAAACTAACTATCCAGCTGAATCCTGGGTAGCAGTGTTATCAGAGGAACATTTTAAAGTTCGTTTAAACAATTTCTATGATAATCAGTGTCAACTTTCATGTTACATTTTGTGTTATATAGTAGTACCATACTGATAAGATATTTGCATGTCTACACTCGACTTCAAATTGTGTTCATTGTTTTTCAATTTATTTTCACACTAAAATATCTTATTCAAACTATCACTTAGTCCATTTTCTCAAACCTCACACTCTCAACTGTCGTGTCAGGCGTACAATACTTTACCAGTCAAAGTTTTTCTTCTGTAAACTCGGAATTTCATTACTTCATATTGCTTCAATGGTTAATTGAAGTGACTTTGATTATAAATAGTGCAAAATAGAAAAATAAATAACTCAGAGCGCATGTAAATTTTATAATTTCAGCTAACCAGTTGGAAATTTATACATAAAGCCATTTTAACATTAGTAATTTGCATATGGAGTTTTTTTAAATCCTGTAAATTTAGTGTCTTGTATCTATATTTTCAATAGTTGTTTCCCTTCGCCAAGATGTCAGTTTCTAGCGATAGATGAGAACACTTAAGTCAGTTTGCTTTGACATATACAATTATTATCAGTGTTCCCTCGGATTCCAACACATCACCATTCAATCATGTTTTATACAGTCCTTTCAGCTAGTTATACAACTGCCCCCTGTCTCTCATCTCCTCCCCACATGATTTTCTATATGTCACTCTCAGGCACACGCCCAACTCGTCGTTTGAAACTCGAGTTCCAGTCTATGTAATGTTTAGCACACGGTGTCATTTAACTGTCTGCTGAGCATGTAGTCAATCCATCTTCATTGTGCTCGTGATATTTGTTGAGCAAGAGGTTCTTGTTTGGTTCGTTGCTAGAGTGCCTTGTTGCTTATTCTTCGTGGCTAGCCATTTGATCCTCAGAACGGAACCAGTGAGGACAGCTGTTGATGGAAGTCCATAATTGCTTGTAAGAAATGGTATTCGTGATGCATTTACCAAGTTTCTCAGCCGTATAGTAGAACTGATTTAATTAACATTGGTGCTGAATATCCGAATTTTGTTATATTGTGCTGAGTTCAGGAGATTTTTAAACTGGTTTCAGAGTGATGAATGTCACTCTTGTATTTTTGATCCTGTCTGGCTTTAACATCCTCATCTGTGCTGTCCTCTGAAATTGACATGATGCTACCTCACTCAAATTTCTACTTTTGGTAGTGAATGGTGCTAGTTGTTTTTGTTGACTGATTATCTTTATCACCTTTGTCTTCCCTCAAGTTAGCTTTTTTCAACAAATATAGTAGTTCACGCTTTTTTCTACACATGCCTAATATATATTCACTACATGACATATTTAAATTTAGGAAAAAGCAAGGGAATACTTCAATTGTCCACAACTAGATGGTGTAGAACTTGAAAGTGAAGAAAGTGAGGGCAATAGACAACACATTGAACGGAGAATACTTGAAGTGAGTCTATGCAGAAATTCTCTATTACTTCAAAGTTGTACTATATTGAATATTTCATGCTAATTTTATTTTTATGAATTCTGTGTATTGAATAAATATTGTAAATAACATTTTAAATTGTGTACAGATTAAATTGTTTTAGTTACATCGAATATTTGTGTAAGAATTTAAGCTTTCTTTACAGGTTTTCATCATGAGCTGACATTGGTTAGAGAACCATTGGAAAACGTGAGAGTACTGGACAACTGTTTCGTCTTAGTTTGGGTCTCCTCACATTACGCACCAACCGGGGTTCGAACCCAGGACCTTCTGGTACACGATCTCGCCTTGTAACCAGAAGGCCCTGGGTGCGACCCCTGGTTGTGGGTGCGTACTGAAGAACAGTCACAAACTAGGACGAAACAGCTCTCCAGTACTCCCACGTTTTCCAATGGTTTTCTAACCTATGTCAGCTCATAATGAAATCCTGTAACCAGTCAACCAAATCCCTACAAACCAATACTTGAAATTCAAGCTTTCATTTATTCATCCAGAAACAGGTGAATTCGCCAAGTCTTTTTAGAACCAATAAACAAATTAAGTTTACTTTTAATTCCAGTGAATAACATTCATTATTTCTATAATCCATCACAGGTGATTAATTAAATGATTCGTCATCGCTGTTAAACCATCCTCCTCAGAGAACGCAACCACTTTAATATAAAAATATATGCGTAAATATCCATTTCATTTATTTATTATTTTCCTTTAACGTTCCTAGTGGGACCTAGGGATACAAGATTGACCTTTCAAGTTTCAGTAGTAGTGGTAAATTTTTTCAACCGGTGGTGTTGTTATTCTCACGCCGAGCCTTCCCTCTTTGCCAGCCTTATAACCGACTAAGCGACGTTTAGCAGTGAGTTGGCTGAGAGTCGACGTCAGGACCACGTGCTGGTAGACCTGGATTACAGAATTTTATGTGGTGAGTAATTAGTGTAAATTAGAGGGGTATTTTCAGTCTTAGCAAAATTCGAATAAGTGGTTTCAGAATTACTAGTCCGTCACTCTACCAGCTGAATTACAAGACAAAGGTGCTATGAGTTCGGTTATTTGATGCCATTTGAGTGAGGGACTCCGCTTAAAGTCACCACACCTAGGTATATTGTTAGGCATAACCCACGGTGATTAAAGTGAATTCGTGGTGTGATTAAAGGTTGACTGTCATAGTTATATATATATCCAAACCAAGTTCACTTTTAACAGTTTGAAAAAATTTGGGCATCGGGTATATGATATTCATTATAATAAACACTTTTGTATTTCCCAATGAATGAAAAACAAAACGATATTGTTTCTCTTACTGACGTTTCGCTATTTAATGCTAATAGCTTTATCAAAGTATTATTAAACCGGAATTTACGAAATCTCAGCATATATATAACAAAGAGTTGAGGGGTCAGAAAATAGACTTAGGTCAAATTAAAAGGACAAAATTGATTTTGACAATATTGAAATAATCCAGAAAAATTTTAGAAATCACAAAGAACGTCCAATATCATCAGAAGCACTTCATATTAAGTGGAATCCAAATTGCCTGAATAGGAATGATGGACTAAAACAGAATCTGACTTGATTACAACACCTCCCTCCCCCATCAAGTGACAAAATCAACACGAATATGATATGCAAGTTCACTATGTAAACACACACTGTCTTTTAATTTGCAACACTGATCAAATCCAACAATCTACACTTGATTTTGTTATCTTTACCAATTGACCAACTTGACAACGAAAAATGCCCCCAGACAGACGAACGATGATTAAGTTAGTAAACTTTATTTTGATACCATAACAGATGTACTATTACCTTTGTTATTTGGTTTAGTGATCTTCATTGCTATTTTGACTTTCAATATGTCCCCTTAACTTGACCTAAGTCTATTTTCTCACCCCCTAACTGTTTTTTATATATATGCTGAGATTTTGTAAATTCCGGTTTACTAATACTTTCATAAAGCTATTAGCATTAAATAGCGAAACGTCAGTAAAAAGAATATCGTTTTGTTTTTCATTCATTGGGAAATACAAAAACCTTTATTTTAATGATTGTCTTAGGTTATTGTGTAGAATGTCAGTATAGTTATACAAAGGCCATTGATTCCAATCCTTCAGAGACCCACATTTTTTTTATTTCATCTTGAATACAACCTTCAATACAACAAAAACACTCTGGAGATTCAGTTCTGCTCTACACTGTCTTCGACATGAATATGTTTCCAATAGCAGTATAATTTTATTCGTCTTTATTCCTCACAGACATTGTTTGAGATTCATTTGATTCCCAACAACTGTTTCAGAAAGATAACAGAGATTCCATAGGATTTGTGTCCTACGAATACTATCGATCTTTTAAAACACATCTGGTACCTCTGTGAACAGAGAAGGCTCTGTAAATGGATGCACACACACATATGTAGACAGATTGTTTTTTCCTCGCTGGGCATCCATGAACAAGAAGTGATTTCGAAAGACTGAAAATAAAACTTTACTCGATATTTTTTTATCTTATTGTAATGACCTTACATTTCTAGTTCTCTGTACAAAAGACTTCGTTTGAAACACCCCTTTATTATATTTTTTTTAATTCCCACTCAGAATGAAATAATGACCGCTCTTTACACCCAACGTTCATACGTTTCGCCAATTCTCCTTGGATATTTTGAAGACACCGGGTTAGTTCAAATATTTTTCGGGTATTATTAAAAGAGTTTCAGAAATTCCTTACTAATTTATCTATTGGGTATGTCTCTGTTCTTCATTATCATAATAGTTGAAACTACACAGCTTACAAGATAAAAATAGATTTTCAAAACTGTGTAGTTACAGTTGATATGGGTACAAAGTAAACATTATGCTTGAAACACCATCCAATAAATAATACTGTTTACCACAATAATAGCTTCATTATGCTCAATAATTTTACTCAATACACACAACTTTCAAAGAAGTTTATGGCATAACATGTTCTCTTCATCCAGGAGTTTCAAGTAAAACAACCATCTCCAGTACATCACGTGACGCAGTGAAGTTAGATCTGAAGAATAAAATAATCCTTAATGGCATTTTTCTTTGGCCCTCCAGAAGTAAGCAACAGTACGTTGAAAACCAATTAAAAAATGTGCACGAGTACATTTGGCGACACACGGAAATATTTGAACGTTTATAACAACAATAACTAAAGAAAATAAGATGTATTGTCTCAGATGGAAAATCAGATAGCTCAGTGAATCAAGCAGACCACTGTGTCTTATGTCTTCCCAATAGGATAAATGTGTGGAATAAAAGGGGACATTTCCGGCAAAACAGGGAAGGAAAGGGGCAATTTCTTTTCAAAGGGGACAACGACGGGGAACCACGAAAAATGTTACTGTACGCTGGAGGTTACTGATAAATTGTTAGTAGCTCAAATTTTCAGTTGAAATTACGTTACCAGTACTTCAATTGATGCGTTGTTCTTACACCAGCAGTTTCCAGTTGAATCTTTTTCTTAAAATCTAACAAGCAGAACACAGAAGGAAGTACTAACACTTAAAAGTAGGAATGGCAGTAGAAGTAACCTGGGGACTTCAGTGTTTTTCGTCATATAGTAATCAAAACAGACCCACACGCATTCATTAAGAATGGTGGCCAATGGCATTAGATTGCAGTCAAACTGAGAAACAGACTTGTGACTTCTTATTGTCGCTTCGACTGTGATAATATAAGGGGTCAACATACTTGCTAATAATGTCACAAATGAAATTACAAATTAATCAAATCTCTCAGACAATTGTCTGAGATTTAATAAACCACACTGCGTGATTCATCGTTTAACAAATTAAGTATTAAATATGGGTTCATGCTTACTGACTAATCAGTGGAGTTTATGAAAACATAAGTGGTCAATGTCAATCGCAATGTAACTAAATTTTTTTGTTTAGTTGAATTCCAGTCACTTATTGTGGGCGCACTTTTAAACTGTACACAGTGCAGGTAGGTGGTCGCTGTGGTTAATATAAACAACGTTTGCACTTTCATAACAGTATATTTTACAGAAGGTATAAACGTATCGATGAGCGGTTACTGGCTAAGATCTCTGTAATGTCAACGTTACTGAAGGTTGTCACACCTAATGTCCTTCCTGTAAACATCGGGCCTTCTTCAGTGAACACTGACATCATGACCATGGAAACCGAGGTAGTGCCATCGCCACCTTGCAGCAGCCTAACACCAGCTGCTAGTACTTCACAAATGTGCCCACAAGTGTCTTCTGAAAGTGATGAAATGACAAGTATGCTACTAAAAATCATGGTTACCGCGATCATGTCATAAGCAACGGTAACAAAATCTTGAAGATCTTCCGTGAGAGATAGCCTCAACTAAAAATGGAATTGCATACTACCACAGTGTCGTCCAAGTTTTGCACATTTATTAGGGTTTTAATAAGTCATAATCATATATCACTTCAGTTTTTATCATACTGTCTCGTTCCAGGATAGCTTTAAATGCCAGTTTACTTGGAAGAATGGGAGTTCCACTTAATTTCCAGTATTTGATTGGGTTCAGTTTCTCTATGCGGGAATAAAAAGTTGCTTCGTGTTAAATTACACTACTTTATGTGCTTAAAAGCACATACTTGTAATTAATATTTCTTTGAGATACTTTTCATCATAAAAAAGTTTGTTGTAAATAGTCTTCACAAATACCAAGCGGAAATATTTTCTGCGCAAAGTTAATCGTCCAAAATATTTGCCCTTAATGACACCAAAAGTCTCTTAACCTTACAGCCATAGGGATTCCTGACCAGCATACTTTCTCCTCATTACAAAAAATTGTCTTATTAGAAGTGCAACAGTTTCCAAAATCACCTTTTAATCTAAGAGCAGTAACTTCGAAAAGAGTACCTGTTTTAATTATAGGACTTACACGATTAAAATTCCCAATAAATAGAGAGTATGCATGAATTTCAAACGTTCGAAACTGAATACACGAAACAGTCAAGGATAGAAACGCTAAGTTAGTTAGACACAATATTTGGAGAGAGAAGTGAATTTTATATTAAAACTGTGTAAAACTTGATTTTTGTAAGTGATGACATCACATCCCTACAAATCAACTCTTGAAAATTATTCAGAACAAAACAGTTAGAGCGAACAATTGTGGTTTCAATAAATTCTTCTTCAGGCTATACAATTATAAATGCCGGAATATAAACATTTGATCATAGGGAATAAAAAGACAGTTGCAGTGAAGAAAATTTTCTTTTCGACGAAGTCATCATCTAGGCTGTACATTCGTGTATTTATATCAAATGGATGGGAAAGTTCCAGAACAATTTCTGGTTAGGGGTTAAATTAATAAAAATTACAATTAGGAATTAGAATGCCATAATAAACAGGGGGATGGGTAAACTCAAACAAAGTAGCATAATAACTAAGAAGATTGACATTGTGCAATTGGGCGCGCTAAGATCACGAATAGGTAGAAGTTATAATTCATGGGCTGTTGAGTCCGTTCCTAGCGGCTGGATGACTGGAAGGTCCTGAGTTTGAAACCCGATGAGTACGTACTGCAGATGAGTCCCAAACTAGGACGAGGCAGCTGTCCAGTACTCCCTAGTTTTCAAGGGTTCTCTCACTGATATTAATCTGTGGTCAAACTTGAGAAACAAATCAACTCTTGAAAATGGTGAGTAGTCATTTTTTGTTCTCTTCCTTTGTCGTTGCCTACTTAAACACTGGAAATATTTTACTTTCGAAATGTTTATTATCATATTCGTTGAATTTGTTCACCACGTTTTCAATACTCTGTCCCAATGCTATTACTGGTTTCTTATAATTTAGGTGGTATACTCCAGATTATACAAAAGCAAACAAGATTACCTATGGTAAAAACCTTGGATGTGATTTTATCATGAGGAGTTGTTACGATTATATGCTGATACAGAAATCAAAGTGAGAAATTATTTTTCTTTTGTGGTATTTTATAAGTTCACGTGAGCAACAGGTAAAGGGTTTACTCCTAGTCTTTTACGAGTTATCTGAGATTAGATTTTGCATAATAACAAATATCTAAAACCGCTATATTTTAATTTTGTATGCTCCTTGTTAGCATACCATTAAGCTCATGGTAAAATGTTTCATATTTTTAAATTTTACGACTTTTATCACGAGATGACATCAGCTAGAAAAACAACTGGACGAAATAAAACTATTTCGTCCTAGTTTGTGACTCGTCAACAGTACTCACCGAGTGAGGTGCTAACCGAGGCAGGACTTTCCGGTTACAAAGCGAACTAGTAGACCATTCAATTCCCTTGTCTTTAATGGAAGCATACAGTACAAATTAAAAGTTTTCTAATATTAAATTCTTTCTCTAAGGAATAATTTGTCTTCTCTGATAAATTGATTCCAGCCATTTTTAAAGAATCCACAGGGCCTTTTGATGTTGAATATTTCATTGGAACGGAACATTAGTCTTTTAAAAATGTCTATCGAAAATACATCTTCCGTGAATAATTATAATAACTTGGTTAGTCACTAGATAGTTAACATTTCTTAGTAGTAACTGAATTCTGTCATTTGTGGGTGCAATGTCACCAAAGCGGGTGAACTACCATTATAGTACACTTTGAGTTGAACTTAGTTGACTGGAAACAGCTGACAAGAAATGACATCTTTCTGTGAAGCAGTATATATTATTTTCACAACCAACAGCTTGTCAGGATTATTATTATTATTGTTTCCTTTAATTCCTAGAGGAACATAGGCCTTCAGCCATGCGTCTCCATTGCGTTCGGTTCTCTGCTAGAGTCTTCACCTCGCTCCAAGTCTGCCCACACGTTTTCATCTCCTCTTCACATGACCTCCTCCATGTCACCCCACCCTCGCACTGACGACCAACTCGCCGCTTCCCTTTCGGGTTCTACTCGAGCGATGGCCTGTCTAGTGATGTCACTTGATGGTTTCCTCAGAGTATGGCCAATCCACCTCCATTTCTTCCTGATTATTTGTTGCACACTCCGTTCCTGCTGGGTTGGTTCGCTCATTGCCAGAGATCTCTGTTACTGATCAACTCTGGCCGGCCATTTGATCTTGAGTGGTATTGAGCGAAGATAACTGTTAATGAAGGTCTGTAGTTTGTTTGAGATGGTCTTTATGATGCGCCAAGTCTCTGATCCGTATAGTAGCACTGACTTCACACTGGATTTGAAAATCCAGATCTTATTTTTGATGCTGAGTGCTGTTGACCTCCACACAGACTTGAGAGTAGTGAAAGCTTGTCTTGCTTTTCCGATTCTTGCTTTGATATCCTCGTCAGTTCCGCCTGTAGTTGAAACGATGCTTCGCAGGTCGGTAGGTGAAAGAGGTTGTTTCTTCTTCTTCCATTTATGCTGATTGTTGTCTGTTGTTGTTGTTGCTGCTGTTGGTGGTGACAAGCTTTTATTGTCAACTTGTCAGGATATGATTTCTTTTTTTCTGAGAAAAGTTCTCTGCCATTAATATTTTCAGACCAGTTGGTTAGAATTAGCTAACCATTTCTTAAATTAAGCATAATTAATGTTCACTTTATTATTAGTTTCCTCTGACCAGTTTTGTAGACCAATTAAAAAGAACTCCCAGTCATTTCTGCTAAGACTGAAATTAGTAATGAGGATCTTCTGAGTAACGCTTTGAATAATGCTTCAGTCATTCACTTCAGAATTACTTCAAATTCAATATTAGTTCATACTTCTTTTAAGTTTTCTAAGATTTTGCGTCGAATGATTAATTCGTTGTATTTTTTTGCTTTTTATTTATATTTTTTTTATATTTTAGAGGAGAAAGCTTTTATCCATACTGCGATTACCATGATTTTTATAAAACTCTTTGCCTTAAAAATCAAAACGCCTACGGATACTGTGATTTGACTACATTCACAGAAGATTTGGATGTTGAATTCCAGTATTTCGAAAATCCTAGACTCGGTGGGAGAGGCAAACACAGAGATAGGTGTCCAATTTATATGGTTGAGTGATTTTATACATTATTGATTATATACATATATATATATTTTTGTTATCATACTATTTTAAGTTTCAAACGCAAAACTCTTTCCTAAAATACACTCAATGAGTAATCCAAGAATATTAAAAGGGATTTAAATCTAACCGTATACTGAGTGTACTATTATTTTTAGGCTGCAATAGCTGTTTGTTATTATAATTATTATTCGAATAGTGAAAATCAGTGAAAATATTTCTAATAATCGTAACTGCTTTATTCTCGGCAAAATGTCTACACCATGAACAAAATTATTAGCCTAATTTATTATATTATTATTATTGTTCCCTTGGGTTTCTAGTGTAAACACAAGGCTTCAACTGCACGTCTCCACTTGCTTCTGTCTTCTGCCGTACTTTTCACCTGCGTCCTTGTTAATCCATACTGTTTCAGCTCCTCTTCACACGATCTCCTCCATGTCACCCTTGCACCGACGTCTCACTCGCCGCTTCTCTTTCAGGTTCCACTCGAGCTATGGCCTGACGCGCGATGTCCCCCAGTGGCCTCCTCAGCGAGTGTCCAATCCATCTCCACTTTCTCCTGCATATTTGTTGGGCGATTGGTTCTTCTTTTGTTTGTCCCCAAAGTTTCTTGTTGGTTGGCCTAACTTATTACATAATATTTATCTATGATGGAGAAGATTTCTAACTCAGGTGGATGATTTTGATGTGGTTGTGTTCTCCGAGCTGGCTGGATAGTTAACTTGCGAAGTTTCCATCGCCCTACTGGGAAACATCTCCAGCGCATACTTCAATCTCTTGAAGTGAGCTTTTGGATTTCTCCACGAGTTTATTGATCTCTCCTGGTGGGTGACCTTCTACGTGATTGGTTACTTTTGTGTGTTTTCACACCCTGTAGGCTACTAGTATTGAAATTGATTGTTTCTTCGACTTGAAATTTGACCCTATGTGTGTGTGAGTTTTCTTTCTTATCGGTTGATAAATTTTGTCAATCTCGATGTGTCTATTGATTGGTGATTCACTGGAATACCAGGCTGGCTTCTAAAAATTCCTAAGCATTTATGGTGTTTCCTCTGTCTGATATTTGAACATTGTCCCAATCGAATTGATGTCTGTGGTTGTCTGTATGCAGTGATATGAGGGAGCGGATGTCATGTCTTTTGACAGCTAGCTTCTGATCATGGATACGAAGATAAAGAGGACGTCCACTTTAGCCAATGAAGTGTTTTTCGCAGCTGTTACAATTTATTTTGTAGATGATGTTGGTTTTATCTTCTTTCGTTATTGAGTCTTTCGGTTGGAATAGAGCTGAGTGAAGTGATTTTGTTGGTTTATGTGCGACGTCAATTCCTAAAGGTTTGATGAGTCTTACGGAGATTTTTGAGATGTCCTATCAAAATAAAAGGCCCCCAAGGAAAGCACAAAGAAAAATCGCCCTACCATATATAAAGGACGCATCGAGATAGACAAAATTTATCAACCGATAAGAAAGAAACCTCACACATACAAAGGATCACAGTTCAAGTCAAAGAAACAATCAATTCCAATACAAGTAGCCTACAGGGTGTGAAAACACACAAAAGCAACCAATCACGTAGAAGGTCACCCACCAGGAGAGATCAAATAAACTCGTGGAGAAATCCAAAAGCTCACTTCAAGAGATTGAAGTATGCGCTGGAGATGTTGCCCAGTAGGGCGATGAAAACTTCGCAAATTAACTATCCAGTTCAGAGAACACAACCACATCAAAATAATATTTATCATCCATCCGGGATTTTCAAGTCGAACAGCAATATATAGGATAGTATGTGACTCAGTACTATTGGTTCTGAAGCACAGACTAATCCCTTATCGTATTCTCCCAATGTCTCCGAGATATGCATGCCGGTAGTTTGAAAGCCAGTTAGAAATGTGCATTGAGTACATTTAGCGACTCAATAAGAATTAGCGAAAAAAATCGATATATTGTGTTGGATGAGAATTAATTCAGGTAGCCCACTGATTCAAAAGTCTCATTCCTACAAAAATGTAAACCTTTCTGCTTCCACAGCAATAAAAACATATTCTCAGAAAATTCAGTTGACACCTTTCAGTCAAGTAACGAAAGATATTCAAACTGGATGAAGAAAATACTTAGCTAATAGATACGATAACCTGTTAATGTATTATTTGTTATAGAAAACTAGTTTACAACCATTCTCAGAGATTATGACCCCCTCTATTCCCATCTCTCGCCTTGTATCTCATCAAGTAGAACCAGAAATCAGTATAAAATAATCTATGCTCGTACAACCAAGTACACGAACTCAACGATACCATATTTGGCCCGTGTTCTAAGTGACTGAGACAATGTTAAGCGCGAAACCTATGACTTGCTTTGTTGTTAATAACATAATTTTAGGCTCTTTTATTTCTCTCTTATTTTGCATTATATATTGAACTCCTTCTTAAACATACTCAGCTACGTAAATCATTAACATTGGCTTCCTTAATTGTACTTTACTCTATTCCTTCTCTTGTGTATCTACTGGTTCCGACTATATTAGCACTATGAGTATTACGAAATTGTCCTGTCATTAACCATCATGTAATTATTAGTTTTTGTGGTTGTTTTTTTTTCATTATTTTTTTCGGCAATATTAACTGACAATCATTGGTTGTGAACGCCATTATCACCACCTTAAAATTTCTGTATTATTCAGGATTACTCACACTACCACTACAAACACTGCATTAGACCTGACAATAAAAAACAAAACAACAACCCTGAAATGTTATTATATGATTGTTTAGTGTTATTCAATCAGATTAACTGATCATCCTGGCGATAAACATTCTTAAATATCATTTCGTAACTTCTTGTATGACTACAGGTTTACTGTCACCATGCACAATCATATCATAGCTTCCACTACCCAATACTGAGATATTATTATATACTGTTTATTTTCCTTTCTACATCTTAGTATTTTTTTTCGCATTTTTTAAAATTATTTTTGTGTTTATTGTGTTTTTTTGCTGTTGTTGTCTTTATATTTACTTTTTTGAAATACTCCTTTTAAATGTTTGATAAAATTAGATGCAAATATTGTAGATATGTGCTGAAAATTCCACACTGTACCACTAGTACTGCTTCTGGAATAAAGCAAATTATTATTATTATCAAAAAGATGAAAATGTATTTCGAATTCTGCAAATCCAATACCATTTCTCACAACCTTATAATAATACTAACAGTAATATGAATAATGATGATAATTTTTTGTCTTTTTAGCCATATGAGGGACTTCTAGGAATGCAGTCCTATTGTAATGCCCCTGAAAGAGATAAAGAAGTCGGTAAGTTGTTATATAACACTGACTTCCATAACATTCCAAACTTGTGGACTAACATGATTATAAATTTCTGGAATAATATGTTTATCTCATACATTTGGTTCCCTTGATAAATTTCGATAGAGAAAGAAAGACCAGATTTGCAGTAGAAAATGATATCATCATTCTATTTCACAGGTTCTCATCAGCTGCAAATAATGACATTTCATACTTCAATGTTTGAAAGGTAATAAAGAAAACATTATAAGATGAATGCATCCGGAATATAAGCATTACAATTTTTAGTTTAAGTTACCATCAATTTATATAATGATATTAATAATATATTCTCATTTTGTACATGAGGGACGCCAGTTTACAGGCATCATCAATATGATAAATTACATATACGATTAGTAAGCATATTTAATAATAGTAATTTAATAAAATACACTTTTTCCTACCTGTGTAGGACACACCAATTGTACAGGCATGGATAAGTATTATTTAAATTACATAAATTTGGTTCATGGTTAAATAATGTGGTTTCAGTCATTTTCTCTATGGGAACAATCTGATAACTAGACATTCAATGGAGCACATCAAGAAATATAGAAATATTGTCTTCGCATTAACAAAAAAACCCAAGTATGTTTTGGATGGATTACAAATACTTGGGGAAAAATAAAGTTTGAATTCATTCCCCCATATAACTTTGGTGTGTACGGCATCGAGTCTTATTCTTGATTTATATCCTAATTTGGTAATAATTTAAAATAAGTGATACACTTGTATACTTTTGTCAGCATTTTCATCGTAACATCACAAGTGAATTGTACTCAATGTAGACTAATAATAATGACAGCTTATATTTTCTTATAAACGGGTGTTTTCAAGAAATGATGTAAGTTACAATCGTGAAGTATTATAAATCAATACCTTTTTATTGGTATAAAGGTATATTTCACAACTGTAATCCAGGTTGCGTCGTGGGGAAAGGTAATGCATAATTCACGAGGGAATTGTAAGATATGGGACCAATAATGTTTGCAGATCATTTGTCATTGTAAATGGTCAAATATTCACATTCTTCATTCTCATTCAAAAAGTCAAATGGAAGTTAAAGTGGTGGGAGGAAAAAAAACAAACAACAGCAACGCAAAAGAAAGCAAGTAGAGTCCTCAAGGAGTGATTAATATATATACATTTATATTCTGTTTAGTAACTATGGTTATTTTGGTGCACTAACTAACTATTCCCGTGATGCTAGCTTTTATATTATGTGTGAACTAATATTATTGTCCTGTGTAGAAATGTCTATCATATACTTCCAATAATAATAAAATTTATAATTGTAGTTTGTTGTAACTACACGTTTAATGAACTTAAAATATCTATGTAGGGTGAAAAAGAGGGTGTAAGAGTCAGACGCAGAAGTGAATTGTCATCTTTGAGCAGTCTGTTGACCGAGGAGATGACCGCTGCGAGTGTGGCTGCATCACGCACATCAGCTGGTAGTCTCTTCCAAATGACTGAAAACTTATTTAAGAAGAAGTTGTACCGCATGTAAATCTAACACTGCTCTATAGCAGCTAGCTTGTGATGATTTCTAAGATTGTAACTGATGACAGCGGTAGGTTTAATTATTGGCTCGGAGGAGTGCACGAGCAGATTAGTTAGCTTGTAGTAAAAAATTAGGTTTAGCTTAAGACGTCTTTTCCAGAGTGGTCCTCATCTTAGTCTGTCGCAACGTTCATAGTATTGGAGATCACTTTCTAAACCAAGAGTTCTTAAGGTAAATTGCCATTGCACTCCCTCTAATTTGAGCTTGTCATTTTGTCTGAGTCCGCTAAGAATAAATGGGCAGTATTCTAAAATAGGTCGGACACATACTTTGTATAATAAAACCCTAGTTTCACAAGAAAAGAAATTGCGAGTTATGCATCCTAGGAGCTTTCGTGTTTTACGTCTGGCATAATTAGTTTGTTCAGAGAACGTTAAGTTACTAGAGTATCTGATACCAAGATCTACGACTGAGTTGAGCTTGGCTAGTTTACACCCATTTATTTCAAGATTTAGGTCAAGATCTGTATGACTAATCAATGTAATCAAAGTAATATGGTTACTAAGGTATTGGGAAATTGACCACACTCTCTTTCTGTGTGCATAAATTTGGTCTGAGATGTTTGATTGCAATCGCTTCAGCAAATCTCGACAAAATGACCCGTATCCAAAAAGTGTCTTGTAATTGCACTTTGTAAGCCAGTTTTCAGTTTGGTGAACTTTAACCTTCTTGAGTTGCCGTGTTGACGTACAAGCTAACACTGTTTATTAGATTTCTCTGTCTTCTCTCACCCCCACCCCCTTTTCTCATAATTCGATAGCATATAAATTGATGGTAATTTAAACTAAAGCTATTAGTAATACTTATATTCCGGATGCGTTCATCTTATAATGTCATTATTTGCCGCTGATGAGGACCTGTGAAATAGAATTATGATATCATTTTCTACTGCAAATCTGGTCTTTCTTTCTCTATCGAAATATGTTGATTTTTTGATTCATTGGAATAGAAAGCCATTCTTTAAATAAACGCACTATTACATTTTAATTTGCACATCATATTTGTCTACCGTTAATTAACGTGTCTTCGAACTTCTCAGTGTATATGATACGCTAATATTTGTCATTTGTTACCACAGAGTAAACAAAGTTTTGCAGCGTATAAATCATACTTCTTATTTCTACTTAGCATGTGAAGTGACTGGCTGGATGCACTAGGGTAACATGGAGAAGATTTAGTCAGGGTGGAAATGAAACCTTCCAGGTGGTAGTGGATGTCAGGGAACCAAGAAAACGCCTCTGAAGTCCTGTGTCTCTTTATTGGAATGCAAGGTATAAGTAACAAAATAATAACTTCAGTATTACACGATTCAATAAGAATAAACAAAAACCCTGAAGTTCAATGGTATCAATAGTTTATAAATGAAGTCCATACCTTACCACTTCCCAATAAGGATTATCTGTTTACTTATTAATTAATACATATTCTGAATTTTCATAAGAACTGTGTAGCATAGTTTACGAAGTCTTATCTTACAAAATGATTTGCAATAAAAAGATTCTTTTAACTGTTTTCAGAAAAATCAAAAAATTACCTTCTTCATGGTTATGGAGAAGATGCAATTTGCATAGATCATGATAAAAGTAAACGATGGGAAATTCATGAACACGGAAGAACCAAACTTGAAGATTATCCTCAGTCAACATGTCTAAAGGTAATCTCAGAAGTGGATAAAAATAATAAAATTATTTTAAACTTTAAACATAAATATGAAAAGAAAATATTCGTTAGATTATTTTTTTTTCTCTCACTTAAGTGATGCTTATTTTAAGTTAGAGCTTCAACTTTTATAAGACTGCCATTTTGAAATTATAATAACACTACTTCGTTAATTTATGAGTTTACGAACATAATGAAAACCAAAAAATTCATCAATCGAAAAGACAATTATACCTTTTTGCTAAGATAAATAAACTTAGAGTTACGAAATGGCACACCCTAAACACCCTCAGTATAAATGAGTGTCACTGAGACACGAGTGAAGACGGAGAATTCTTGGAGCAACAAGAATGTTCAAGTCATCTAAATAAACATCTCGTAAATCTTTTTCCTAATTCATAGTTTAATGTAAAACACATAAAATATGTATTAGTTATGTCATTGTGTGAACACAGCAACGCTACAATAAGCGTCGTTGTTAAGGTATTTTATAAACTCACCCGAGATATAAGCTTCTAAGACTGTGTATTCCCTATAAAGTACTTCACTGCCTTATTAGCGATAGTAAATATTTTCGTTATTTATATATATAAATAATCCGAAAATAATACTCACCTTTGTTTAAGTGTGCTTCCGCCCTGACAAGGAATTTAACCTGAGTGATTGACTTCCATCAGTGTTGTAATAAACACGCTTGATGTAAAAGCACCCGGTCAGTTGAAACAGCACACTTATATATTGAACACAGACATTTATATCATTCACTGCAGTCTTGAGAGGATTTGCATCAAGCGGAGTGACTGGCTATCACGCCTCCGATTTGTCACAGTAAAGGCTTCTTGTACGTTTTAGTCTATGCCAGTTGTTACTGGAGATAAAAAAAGGTATTTTTGAACACTGTCATCATTTAAGTTAGAAATCATATGTTTACCGTTCTATTCTACTTTTAGTTATTATGGATAATTAAACTTGTGACCAAATAATTCTGTTCGCCGCTGACATCCTGCAACGAAACCACCTAGCTCAGAGAACACGACAGTATTGAAAATGTCTGCATGTATTGCACATCTTCATTATAATTTCGAAGGCTAAATATTGTCATTACCTTCAGAAACCAGTAACCAGAAATAATCTATCTGTCACTAACCACGAGATCAGACAAGCATCACTGATGAAAGTAAAAGCAATCTGGACGACGTCTGCAAGCTGAGCAACGATGAAAATTTCATCTTAATCTGTTAAAAACCGTTCCTCACCTAAACCAGTGTCTGCTTGTGCACAATAACTATTTGGTCTTACATCATATTCGTCTTTTGAAAGTATTCATATCAGACTTCTCATATTAATTGGAGGAACTTCAATCAAAAACACTGAATACACTGCATTATTCACGCATGAATCCCAAACAGTGTGTACACGAATTTCCTATTGACTTCATAAATAAAAGACCACCAGGCAAACAACATTGTGTCATGTACTGGCCATCCTTTAAGACAGCTATTATTATTGACTATGAATTTATTTAATGCATTAATCATGTTTACTTGATTTTCACTCCAAACTGCTGGGCAACTTCCATATGTTTCCATGAACTGTGGCTTTCGTATGTTTGTTGAGGTCGGTCGGTCGGTTTTCGACATAGAACTTTGCACTGATGTGCGGCAGTTCAAGTCGCCACACTCCATGTACCACACAAAGCAAGAGAACAAAGTAGAAGAAATGCATAATATAGACAGTAAACAGAGGTGTTAAACAAAGGTATAGCAATAACGAAGAACAAAAGTATCATTGGAAATCATAAGTCACAAGGAGTGGATGCATCTGCTTCAGCCATTGAGAACGATTTTGAGCCATGTCACCAATTGTTTCCAACCATTGGTTTTTACCGTTGCGAGGATCCCAACCAGGAAGTCTACACCTCCCTACGCGGTTGGCTCAAACTAACTGTTGTAGATTTCATTGACTGGTGCCATGTTTTGGTTTGACCACCGCTAGCCCTTTTCCAGCCTGACCCTATGTCAGCTAACATTGCCCGTCGGTCGAGGAAGGCGATGACTAGACATAAGTAACACATGTCCTAACCATCTCAGTCGATGTACTTTCACAGCCTCGTCGACTGATTTCCCCTCCTCACCTAGCACTCGACGCCTTACCTCAATATTGCTCACATTATTATACCACTTCACACGGGAGATATAACGCAGGCACCTGTGATCGAACACAGCTAATCTTTTCATGTATTCTGCTCTCAATGGCCAGGCCTCACAGCCATAAAGGAGGACGGAGTGGTCTGCTGAGCAGTACACACGCCCTTTGGTCGATAGTCGGATATCACGTCTACGCCAGAGATGGTGTAAAGTGGCATATGCGAACCTAGCCCTCTGTATCCGTACTGAGATTTGTTCAGAGATCAACCAGTTGGGGCTGATGGTACTTCCCACATAAGTGAAGCGGTCAACGTGCACTACCACTTCACTTCCTATCTCTAATCTATGGTTCGGTGTAATCCAATCCTGCAACATCATCATACATTTTACAGGGGAGAATTAACTCATAACATCTGAACTTAAAACCTTTATTAGCTAGCTAGTTAGCCAGCCATGGTTTCTTTTATTTTTGGTGTATTCGTCACTTACTTTTATTACTTAGTTCCTCGTATGCTAGCGCTTTCATTTGCCATGTAAGATACCTATCAACATTTTGTCACTGTTCAACATCAAAAAGCAATACTTCTGTTATAGCAGAGGAAACTTCGAATTCCTTCCTGTATGAGAATGATAAATAACTACGCTTTATGTTGCACAGTCTGAAATCTACTATTGTATTCTATTTGAATAACTAACATAATTCCCAACAATCTGTTTACACACTTCTTTGTTTTACTTTGCCGTCCTTCAGCACATATGTTCCCCAACGGAAGGTTTGATTTTAATTCTACAAGATGAAAAAGAGTTAGTTTGTCCAGTAAAAGGGAAATACGTTGATTTGACGTACAATGGTCATGGTTTCCAGGTTACTGGTTCAATTATTTGTCCTCCCTGTAAAGAGTTTTGCAAGGTATGTCACTCTTAGTTTATCAAATAAGAAGTAAATTCTTTAATTTAAAATACATATGATTGTTTCTGACTGCACCTCGAGATAGAAATTTCAGTAGTATAATAAAAAAGCATGACACGAAATCAATTGATTAATTTCTACTCATGTGTAAGCAAACATCATTATTATGTTGCCTATTATTTGTATCTAGTTCATTTAAGTCGAAGTCATACCTGTTATAAATTAAGAAAATAACCATCTTTAATTCATTAAGCAATACATTTCAGGAATAAAAGCAAATTTTGTTACAGGATTTCTTCTTGTTCTATCGTTTAAAGAACCATTGGAAAGCCTGGGAGTACTGAAGAGATGTTCCGTCTTAGTTCGGGACTCTTCATGAAGACGGGCGTGAGCACAAATACTCGCCGAAGACATTGGCTGGTGGTCGCGCTATGTCATGAATGGGTGGAAGTAAGAATTCATGGGCGGGTCATTGGATAGGGTCTCAGTTGCTTAGTGGTCTACGAGCTCTCCTTGTAACCAGAAGGTCTTGGGTTCGAATCCCAGTGGGTGCGTACTGTGAAGAGTCCCAAACTAGGGCGAAACAGCTATCCAGTATTTAAGCGCCAGTATGCACATGTTGCCTAACATACTGTGGAAAAAGATGAAGGAGCTCTATGAAGACGACCTTACGGTAATGATTCTCATAAATGTAAGGAAAGCGGCTGAAGAAACAATTAAATCTGAAATGTAAAGCACTTCTGTGTTTGTTATTTGTAGCAATACACTCTGCATAACCGACCAAATAGTTAGTTCACTATTACTAAAATAAAATATGTGAATTCCAATTACTGAGGTTAGCTAAATCTATAGAAATGGTTTCATTTGACAATGTATTGATATCTTTCATGGTATAAGGAATGATTAAGAAGTGTTAAAATGTGTGAAGGGGAACTGGAAAGTAATTAAATTCTTGCTAGCTATTCTCTACTAGTCGTGTACACACTTACGGATGAACAAGTATTTATAAGTTTTGGACATTTGAAAAATATTTTTTTCTTCTATTATTTCTAGAACTGTCCAAGAGAATAATAAACAGCAGCAGTTTGTATATTGCACCAGATGTAGAAAACTATTGGATTGAAAACAGGAAAACAACTCAAACACTCTTACCACTACACCATCAAATGAACATATATCAGCTGGATAAAAAAAACATACATTGATGTACATTTCACCATAATTTTTCTCTTCATATTTTATGCTTCTGTGTGACTTGGTTTCGTTTATTAATAAAAAATACAAGTTTACAAAATAAAGTCTTTACTCCTAGTATCTTGATACTGAAGGCTTTAAGAATACAATATTCCCAGAATAAAATTAAGAACGACACATGTAAGCGAACAGCGGTGATTTTAATTACATTACCAAAAGGCTTTACTCCGACATATTTACGTTACAAATAAATAAATATTACGCAAAAACCAGCATAAACAGTCTCCTTTTCTACCTAGTACGTAGAGAGACAAACACTTATTTATTCTTCAATTCGTTTATTTAACCAGTACACATTTGTCTCGTTATTATGATAGTCATTATCTTCGCGTTTCTCATTCTGAACAGTTTTCGCTATTATTCCACTTGTTCTATTTATTATCCTAAATCAACAAATTTCCCACAATGTTAAAATACTTATCGTCAAACGTCGTTCCACGTTGCATAGTGTTTCACTTGCCTGCCTGTTCCACTTGTTATTAATCGTGTTAATTTCACACTCATTTTCAAAATCGATACATTCTTCGAACTATTTCAATTATGTTATTATTTATTTTATCACTCAATACTGAACTGTAATCATAATCACAAATATTTCATCACCTTTGACAATATCACTGTTAATATTATTAGTAGTGTAACGACCGAAGACAAGGGTCAGGCAACACATCGTCTACTGAGAAAATCAACAGGTACTGGTAGATTTTTATGTGCATTATTAATAGCGTTATTGTTAGCGGAGAAGCAACCTCTTCCGATTGTTTGTTTTCTTGCTGAAGGTAACTCTGTTATCTCTTTGTGGCTGTTTCTCAGAAAGTTAAACCATATATCCGTGAATCATATTTCCGCTGTGATTGGTTGGTGATTTTCTCAGGGCTAAGCTTTGTTATTGTTTTTCTCATGACCCTGATTCGAGACGTGGACATTGACGTAAATAAATGTCCACAATTTTGGCTTGCATCCAGCTCTCACCACAGTAGTAGTCACACTTTTCGTTCGAATTTGCTCACAAGATGCAGTTTCTTAAAAATCACATATATATGTTTTTACAGCTTGATAATATTTGATAATAATAACTACAAACAGTAATGGACAACGTCCCAAAGAGCGATATCAAAATCCTGATGGGTGATATGAATGCGAAACTGGGAGGAGACAATACAGGAAGAGAACTCACCATGGGTCGCGAAGCCCTCGGTGAAATGAACGAAAATGGTGAACTCTTCTCAGACTTCTGCGCCTTCAATGATTTGGTGATTGGTGGCAGTGTGTTCAAACACAGGGATATACACAAAGCAACATGGATTCCACCAGATGGACACACCAAAAACCAGATAGACTTCATTTCAATCTCAAGGAAATGGAGACGGAGCCTACTGGACACAAGATCGAGGAGAGGAGCAGATGTGGGTTCAGACCACTATCTAGTACAAGGGACTTTCAAGGTGAAGCTAAAAGCCTCGAGGATAGCTGGGGATAGGCCACAATGCAAGTTCAACTCGCAAAAACTGAAGGATACAATCACACAGGACATTTTCACTGCAACTGTCAGAGCAAAGCAGGAAACACTACGTGGCACCACTGGGGAATCATCCGTGGAAGACCATTGGAACTCTCTGAAGGTAATTTTCAACGAAACGTGTTCAACGGTTTTAGGAAGAAAGAAGAGACAAGACAAGGAATGGCTCTCAACGGACACTTGGAAGCTAATAGAGGAGAGGAGAATGGTGAAAGAGAAAATGATTCAATGCAAAGATGGACAAGAGAAAGAGAAGCTGAGCTTAACTTACACAGCACTGGACAAAGAAGTGAAGAAGAGTGCCAGGAAGGACAAAAGACAATTCTACGACAACCTGGCTACTGAAGCTGAGAAGGCAGCAGGCAAAAGGGACCTGAGGACACTATATCAGATAACCAAGTCTCTATCCGGGAAGAGATCAACACAAGTGAAACCTATCAAAGACAACCAAGGGAACCCAATTACCAAAGAAGAAAGACAGATTAAACAATGGGCGGAACACTTCAAAGGACTCTTCAACCAACCACCACCTACAACCCGTCCAGAAATACCAACAACAGCACGTACATGACTGCAAGTTGACACCAGTCCTCCAACGAAAACTGAAGTCCTGAATGCAATCAAGCTTCTGAAGGCTGGAAAAGCAGCTGGACCAGATGGAATACCGCCGGAAGCACTGAAAGCGGACCCAGAAACGACGGCAGATATGCTGACTCAATTATTGCAAAAGATCTGGAAAGAGGGAAAGGTGCCTACTGACTGGAGGAAAGGTTACCTAGTGAAACTACCAAAGAAGGGCGACCTGGGACTCTGCAAGAACTGGCGAGGAATCATGCTCCTGTCGACGCCAAGTAAAATCCTGAGTCGCATCATCCTGGAGAGAATCAAGGACGCGCTGGATACAGAACTCCGACCAGAACAAGCTGGATTCAGGAAAGGCAAATCATGTTCTCACCAAATTGCAACTCTACGCATCATCATCGAACAAAGCATGGAATGGCAATCAAACCTCTACCTCAACTTTATAGACTTTGAGAAGGCCTTCGACAGCGTTGATCGCGAAGTAATTTGGAAACTACTCGAGTACTACGGCGTACCCCAAATATTCATCAACCTTATTCAACAACTGTACGACAACGGCACATGTTAAGTGATCCACAACGGAAAACTCAGCGAGGCGTTTGGAGTAAACACAGGAGTCAGACAAGGGTGCTTATTATCACCAATGATATTCCTAAATGTGGTGGACTGGATTATGCGTCAGACAGTGGGAAACGAGAAGACAGGGATCTCCTGGACCGACGTGAAGAACCTAGAAGACCTGGATTTCGCGCGTGGATGATTTATGTTTGATGTCACACAAAATCGAAGACTTACAAGCAAAAACCGACAAACTGGTCGAAGAAGCAGCAAAGACAGGACTCCAGGTGAACATAGACAAGACGGAGGTTATGAAAATAACCAACCAACAACAGCAGCAGCAACATCCAGCGCCAATCACCATCAACGGGAGGGATTTGAAAGAGGTTACTTCATTCACTTATCTAGGGAGCATTGTCTCAACTACAGGAGACAGGAACAGACGAGAGTGTGAAATCGAGAATCGGGAAGGCGAGAAACACATTCATCAACCTGAAACCAATCTGGAAATCTTCGTCACTCAGCATCAACTGTGGTGAGAGCTGTCTACTAGCCAAGTGGTGGACAGTAATTGAGGTCAATGCTTATGTATCAAATATTAGTCATGTTGTGGTGAGAGATGGTTGCTGGCCAAATTGGTTGACAGTTATTGAGGTCAAAGGTCAAGGTGGACAGGCGGATACAGTTAACATATAGATGAACTGACACAGCCACAAGAGATGCAAGGTTAACTTTGTGTGAGAAACAACCAATCAACAGACTGTATTTTCTACTAACATTGACCTACAATAATGTACATAAAAATCTATAAATACGTGTTGATTTTTCGTGATAAACGATCTGTTGCCTGGCCCTTGTCTTCTGTTGTTACACAACAACAAAATTCGGATTTTCAACAGAAACGTCAAGTCAGTCAGTTCTTCTATACGGATCAGAAACTTGGTCAGTGTGTCACAAAGAATATTTCCAACAGGCTGCAGACCTTTATCAACAACTGTCTTCGTTCTATCCTGAAGATCAGATGGCCGGAAAGAACAAGAACCAACAAGAAACTATGGGAAGAAACAAAGCAAGAACCAATCGGCCAACAAATACGCAGGAGAAAGTGGAGATGGATTGGACACTCGCTAAGGAGGCCGTTGGGTGGCATCGGGCGTCAGGCCAACGCTCGAGTGGAACCCGAAAGGGAAGCGGCGAGTGGGACGTCGTTGCAAGGGTGACATGGAGGAGATCGTGTGAAGAAGAACTGAAAAAGTATGGATTGACATGGATGCAAGTGAAAAGTACAGCTGAAGACAGAAGCAAGTGGAGACGTGCAGTTGAAGCCCTATGTTCCACTAGAAACCCAAGGGAACAATAATAATATTACCAAGCTGTAAAAACATATATATGTGATTTTTAAGAAACTGCATCTTGTGAGCAAATTCGAACGAAAAGTGTGACTACTACTGTGGTGAGAGCTGGATGCAAGCCAAAATTGTGGACATTTATTTACGTCAATGTCCACGTCTCGAATCAGGGTCATGAGAAAAACAATAACAAAGCTTAGCCCTGAGAAAATCACCAACCAATCACAGCGGAAATATGATTCACGGATATATGGTTTAACTTTCTGAGAAACAGCCACAAAGAGATAACAGAGTTACCTTCAGCAAGAAAACAAACAATCGGAAGAGGTTGCTTCTCCGCTAACAATAACGCTATTAATAATGCACATAAAAATCTACCAGTACCTGTTGATTTTCTCAGTAGACGATGTGTTGCCTGACCCTTGTCTTCGGTCGTTACACTACTAATAATATTAACAGTGATATTGTCAAAGGTGATGAAATATTTGTGATTATGATTACAGTTCAGTATTGAGTGATAAAATAAATAATAACATAATTGAAATAGTTCGAAGAATGTATCGATTTTGAAAATGAGTGTGAAATTAACACGATTAATAACAAGTGGAACAGGCAGGCAAGTGAAACACTATGCAACGTGGAACGACGTTTGACGATAAGTATTTTAACATTGTGGGAAATTTGTTGATTTAGGATAATAAATAGAACAAGTGGAATAATAGCGAAAACTGTTCAGAATGAGAAACGCGAAGATAATGACTATCATAATAACGAGACAAATGTGTACTGGTTAAATAAACGAATTGAAG